CTGACCTGTGACCTCTGACCCCCCCACGCTCTCCCACACACACACACACACACACACACATAAAGGCCGCAGCTAAAACTTAACCTTTCTAAACTGGAGACTTCTTTCTATGGAGTTCTGTTATCAGTCAGCACTCTGAGGAGGGGGGGAGGAGGGGGGCGGGTCCAGGGAGTGCTGCCATTGGCTGGAGATGAGAGCTGAGGTCTGATTGGCTGTTTGTTGTATAAAAAGAGAAAAACGTTCACAAGAGTTCATAAAGTTCTTCAGAAACTCACCAGACGTCAGGTACCAACACTTCTTCTATGGTTCTACTGCTTCTTCTTGTATGGTTCTACTGCTTCTGTACTTCTTCTATGGTTCTACTGCTTCTTCTTGTATGGTTCTACTGCTTCTGTACTTCTTCTATGGTTCTACTGCTTCTGTACTTCTTCTATGGTTCTACTGCTTCTTCTTGTATGGTTCTACTGCTTCTGTACTTCTTCTATGGTTCTACTGCTTCTTCTTCTATGGTTCTACTGCTTCTGTACTTCTTCTATGGTTCTACTGCTTCTTCTTGTATGGTTCTACTGCTTCTGTACTTCTTCTATGGTTCTACTGCTTCTTCTTGTATGGTTCTACTGCTTCTGTACTTCTTCTATGGTTCTACTGCTTCTTCTTCTATGGTTCTACTGCTTCTGTACTTATTCTATGGTTCTACTGCTTCTGTACTTATTCTATGGTTCTACTGCTTCTGTACTTCTTCTATGGTTCTACTGCTTCTTCTTCTATGGTTCTACTGCTTCTGTACTTATTCTATGGTTCTACTGCTTCTGTACTTCTTCTATGGTTCTACTGCTTCTGTACTTCTTCTATGGTTCTACTGCTTCTTCTTCTATGGTTCTACTGCTTCTGTACTTCTTCTATGGTTCTACTGCTTCTTCTTCTATGGTTCTACTGCTTCTGTACTTCTTCTATGGTTCTACTGCTTCTGTACTTCTTCTATGGTTCTACTGCTTCTTCTTCTATGGTTCTACTGCTTCTGTACTTCTTCTATGGTTCTACTGCTTCTTCTTGTATGGTTCTACTGCTTCTGTACTTCTTCTATGGTTCTACTGCTTCTTCTTCTATGGTTCTACTGCTTCTGTACTTCTTCTATGGTTCTACTGCTTCTGTACTTATTCTATGGTTCTACTGCTTCTGTACTTATTCTATGGTTCTACTGCTTCTGTACTTCTTCTATGGTTCTACTGCTTCTTCTTCTATGGTTCTACTGCTTCTGTACTTCTTCTATGGTTCTAC